TATGTAAAAACAAGCGAAAATACAATCATTCTCATCGAATGTAAAAAAGAAAAAAAATACAGAAACATACTACCACTAAGGCAGTCACAAACCTCCAAAAATGCATATGTGCGTGATATTAATTGCAATTTTTATTCGTTAAAACACATATGCAAAAAGAGTGGATCCAAACATATGAAAAGCTGAACAGAGTTGCCTGTATACATGGCGATATTTAACATCTCCATTATTTCAGTACGAATGACTCCATGAGTAGTCAACTACTAAAATCACAAGTGTCTTCAACAAGTTTTAAATATAGATCAACTCGTAAAGCTTTTTGTGCTGCTCATTTTGTTTAAAAAAAGAAAACTTTCTTAAATTGGGCGATAAATAATGATGTTAGAGCCAATATTTAAAATAACGATATTTCACACTAGAAATATGATGTTTTTCAATATTTCGACCCTAGAATCTTTATTCGTCAGCCAAGTTAAAAAATTGTTTTTACAAAAATAATCAGTGCAAAAAACTACATGATGGACAATGCTTAAATTTTTTGAAGAAGCTTCATGTCTTTATCAATTGATTTTCATAGAGAAATCAGAGAAAAAGTCGATCCTGATATATCAAGCGCGAATCTGGTCTACAAAATCTTGTTGGTCGTTTCTTTGATACGATAGAATACCTCAAGAAAACAAAATTCAATCCAGCATAAAGAACCATTTTCAGTCCGAAAAGATTACTCAATTGAGCTGAGATTTTAAAGATATTCCTAGTTTGGTACCATAAATTGAATTCTCGACTCAATATTGAATAATAGGTTTCCATAAAAATTGCGTTTACAGTGAGCATTGGTTACTGATACGACTTACAGATGGTAGATTCGCTTCGCTCCAGGAAACGTTCAGGCTATGGGTGTGGGATGTGGGTGATTCTTCTCGACATTCACACCCCACATCTCATTAAGGGTTTAGGGTTAATGGTATTGGGTTAAGGAAATAGAGTTAAGGGTATGAAGGTAAGCATAAATGGATAAGAGTATAAAGTATGACGTTCTCAATGCATTATTTGGGTTGCATTATCATGTAATTGCATCCATTGCATTTCTATTAAAAAATAATGCGTTGCAATATACATTATTTCTAAAAATCGGCTACATGGGTACCCGAGAAAGCATAATGAAATAAGCAAAACAATAGCAAATGCTCAGTGATTGGTGTTTGAATTTTTGAGATGGCTAGATATAGCTTTGATATCAGTTGATAAAGAAAATTATTCCTTATCGAACTCTGTTTTGAGTTTTTTATTAAAAAGAGGCAAGTAAAAATAATAGAAGATGCCACCTTAATAGGGTTAATGTGATCGGTTTAAAACACTGCAATATTAAGTAGTTCTAGATGGGTAATAATAATTGGCCGAAGTCGAAGACTGAAGTAACCTAATGTGTTGATTAGCTCTTTTGTTGGTGTACAACTAACACATTAAAAGCACCATTAATCGTATAAGATGACACGCTTATCTGATACGCGTTGTATGTGTTCTTTAAAAATTTAATCATTTACTACTGTTGTACCCAAAACTAATACGCGCATTATTTGATTGGCGTGAAAACTTAAGCCTATTTTTCTATAATAAACTTTATTTTATCAATTTCTTTCACATTGTATAGTTGTATAGAAATATGTGATGATATGATAACATTTATTATTGTTTTGTATGAAAAGAGTATGTCTTTAAAATGAAATCTATGTATTTTAAAATACTTTGATGAGTACTAACTTCTAGTCAACACTCATTTGTAAAGAGTTGAATCATATCTAATTCATGACATAGCGCATTATTCTATATCAATCATCTTTATTCAAGGAAAAATGATACAGTTTAACAAAGAATATCCATAAAACAGGAAAACAACAGAGCTACAACACGATGGTGTGGGTGTGGATTTCAAGAAAAGAGTTTAATCTACATCTACTCCCAGACCCACACTCAAAGTCTAACTGAGTATTACTATAAAGAAAAGAATAAATACGAACGAACCACATACATCTTATAATGAAAATGAGATAATAACAGCAAACATATATGATATACATAATGTGTTATTTAGTGTTGACGCAGATGATCAGGTTGCTTAAAGAATAGAGTATATAATGAAATATTCGATCAATATTACCTTTACATGCTAAATTATTTCTTTTTTCATTTTCATTTGATTTGATTTGAACAATAAATATTTCACCTTGACGTTCTGTTTTACCATCAATCATAACAGAAATATGATCTTGTTCAGAATTATGATTAATAAATATACGACTATTTTGTCCAAAATAATGTCTCTTTATTTCACAATTATAAATTTGTATCGATAGTATAGATTCTAAACTTTCTTTAGCATCACAATATTGAAAAACAAGAGTAATTGCATCATTTGGTAAAAGTCGAAGATCAAGCTGATTTTCAATTAGAAATTCAAGTTCTTTACAACGATTTGTATCCAAATCATTAAATAAACCACAAAAGTCAAATCTTTTAATAATATCGATTGTACAATCATATTCTGTCTTTTTACTAGACATGTCATCTATGCTTACTTTCCATTTCAAATCTAATATGTTGAGTATTACTCGTAGGTTTATACGAAAGAATATCGGTATTGGACACATTGGTGTATAATTATTACGTTTTTTGCTTTTATTAGAGCCAAGATTTTCATTACTAAATTGTGTTGATGTTTTTTGGACGAAAATAAAAACAAACATAATGATTAACTTGATCATCGATTGCTGACATGAAATCGTAAGCTGAAGAGTCTTTAAAATTGTTCGTTTGACAAAGATGACGAGATTTAATCGCTTGATCACGTAAAATTGACACAGCATTTTCTAAATGTGTATAATGATAGATACATCCGATCCATATTGAATTTTGTGCCTCTAAACCAGCAATTAATAATTCATCAGGAGTACATAATAATGAAAAATGTGGTAATCGATTAAATAATTCAAGATTATCTCGTTCAATTAGTTTAGTAATTTGATCATTCGATGAATCATTATTTGCAACATGAATTCCAAGTTGAATAAAATAATCATCAATCGATGAAGTTGTCAATAGAGTAAGTACATGAGTTTCAAACAAATCAATAGGTACTTTAAGAAATTCACATATTTTTCTTGGTAATTTGTTTGAGAACTGAATTACAATTCCACGGTTTAGTTATATATAAACAATTATTGTTCACATGTGTGGATGGATTACCAACAAATATATTTAACTTATCAATATAAAGTTCCAATCGATCAGCTTCGAAATATTGGATACTATCGAATTGATTAAATTCATTTTTTTCTTTAATCTTATGAAAATCAAATAACAATGAACGATAGCATTTTTGTAAACGATTAGTAAGTTCATCACATGGAACAACTCTAATTGGTATTAAATTTAAATCTTTCATTTCGATATGATTGATATTAAAAATATACAATAGATATGATAAATTCTTATGATGACGATTAGTTACATTTAACTTTAACGCATGTAATTCAGATGGGGACTGTAATGTATCAATCGATCAAAAGTTGAGTTCTTCAGATGGCATAAAAAGACTATTACGCTCGCTTAGTAAATATATACTCTTCGAAAGGCATTTTTCACGATACAATTGACGTTGATTAGTATCTGTATTAGAAAGTATGTTCAAAAGATTAGTATAGATTTTTTGAATATGTAAATCATTTTCGAAATCGTATCCTGTTTGGTGTCGAACATAAATTTGATGAAGAATATATATGTAATCATCAGTTGATAATTCCGTTTTCAATTTAAAGAACTTGAGCCATTCATCACTTAAAGGTTCTCCATTCGGCGTACATTCAAATGTAGGTAAATAATGACCAATCCATGGACTTAATCGATTGCTATAAACATAAATACTTTTAAGACATTCTTTTTTATATGTGTCATTTGATGATAAAATTTGAACTGGTATACATGGTCGATTCAGAACAAACCATTGTGGAAAAGTTTTTACATCTGAGCCGAATATTGCTCCTCGTTTATTGGATTGTCCCCAATATGCTATTTCAGACTTACGAGGGAACCACCCGAGGTGTCAAAAAGCTTTTCAGTCGGGGATATGATGGTTAGATAGGGCATAGCTAGGAGTGATATACCCTAAGTTAGTTCGTGCCCAAGTTGCTTCTAGCAGG